TGAAATTACACAAGCATATTCACTTTCTGAAGGGCTGCAGCATTTCTATATACTGGCTTTTTTTTTAAAGTGTCCCGACATTTTTTTTTCCTTTCTTTTTTTGTACAAGGCACAGAAAAGGAGGTTGTATTTTGATGGGAATTTATCTTAAGAAAATAAATGATGTTCTAGCACACAAAGAGCGGATGGTCGTGGATTATGTAGCTTCAGCATTCACAAAATGAGATGAATAGAGATGCCAATACATTTCGCTTATCTCAACAAGCCGCTTCTCTCTGAAAGTCTATTCAAATATATTTACAGCGGTAATCACAAAACAACATCCTGCTTTTAGTTCAAGAACTGCCGCATATTGTGAGCTGAAAACCGCTGCAACAAAGTGGATCTATGCAGTATTTTAAGGCTTTATTTTTGTTTTATTGACTGGAGGAAATGAGGCACAGAGAAAAGCTTTCATTCAGTATATAAATAAATGAGAAATGAGCTTGAATGGAGGCCGCAGATGCTTTCACTTGGGTCTTGAGGTGGGAGATCTTGAGTGCTGAACTGATGACCGATAATTAATGGCACAATTACACTTCATTAAAGCCATGAGATTCACAGAAAATGAGAGTCAAATCAATACCTGAGAGCACTCTACAGGAACATACTGTTTATTATACAGCAATGAACAATCTGCTCACCTCCTCTACCACATTTTCCTTTGATTTCATCGTTTTATTTTAGTCATCAACAACAAACTAATTTTATTTTTCTTCTCTGATAAAAATAGTAAACATAAATTTGTACTATTTTTTATCAAAGAAGAAAAATAAAATTAAAGTGAAAACCTTCCAATATAATTAACATTTATAAAACTTGAATATTTAGATCAAGATTCACTTGATGGCATTAAAAGACATCCTTAAAGGATTTCGAAAATACAACAAAAAAATATAGATATAACTTTTTAAATCTATCTACCTTGCCACTGTCATACCCAATTAAGCATCTCTGGAGAGACCTAAAAATGGCTGTCCTCTAATGTTGTTCTCATGTACCATCTAACCTGACAGAACTGGAGAGGATCTGCAAGGAGGAATGGCAGAGGGTGCCCAAATCCAGGTATGAAAAACTTGTTGCATCTCTCCTAAAAAGACTTAATCTTCAATGGATCAGAAGGGTGCTTCTCCTAAATACTGAGCAAAGGCTCTGAATACTAGATCGTGGTGTTTCAGTTTTTCATTTTTTTTAATAAATCTGCAAAAATGTCAACAGTTCTGTGTTTTTCTGTCAACATGGGGTGCTGTGTGTACACTAATGAGGGAAAAATGAACTTAAAGGATTCTAGCAAAGGGCTGCAATATTAAAAATAGTGAAAAACTCAAGGGGTCTGAATACTTTCCATAGCCACTTTATATACTACATGATAACACAGTCTGTACTAATACTGAAGAAAGAAAAAGAAAATCACTTACATCTTTAATGGCCTGAGGTTGTATAACTGTAGTTTCTTATTTTGGGGTGAACTACCCCTTTAAGTCAATGTGACAAATCTCTCCATTTATTTGTAAAATTTAAAAGCAATTTCTGTTTAATGAAAAAATTAATGGTTTAGTTTCATACTACGATTCGCTTTTCCATAACCCCATTGAATCAACAGGGCTTTGCTGAATGCAAAAAGTGTGACGATACTTGATTATAAATAATAGGAAATACATTATCATACCTGCTAAATAACACTAAAGATGCTATTACAATTAAAACGTGTTTATCTGCAGTACATACTGTTTTACTTTTAGATTTTAGTATGTATGTTCAGAGACCTCGTCCTTGTCAAGACTCAGCTGTGTCTCCTCTGCAATCCTAACAGTCGCAACACCTGCTAATGTCATCGAGAGGCTCTTCGTCTTTGACGCATCCTTTCTCTCTGGCTGCCTTCGAGATGTGACAAAAATAAAGCATTTTTGACAGGAGACAAACTGGCCATACAATCTGAAAGCATCATAAACTGCAGATGTGCTGCCGTGCAGATCTTGCGCCAGAAAACTCGGAGTCTCCTATAAAAAAATCACCTGTCAGCAGACACTTAAAACTCTGCGATTTTACTGCATTTTCATCTGCAAAGTGCAATAAATTTGGAAAGGTATTCTTTCGAAGTGCTGATGGATGGATCAGGATGATATTCAGTTTTAGTTCGTTTATAGTTCATGATGTTATTTTGATTTACTTTCTTTGGCATATAACAACAAAAGATAAAATACACACACACACACACACACACACACACACACACATATATATATATATATATATATATATATATATATATATATATATATATATATATATATATATGTGTGTGTGTGTGTGTGTGTTCTACAGAAGTAAATCATGCAGAATTAAAAATAAGTACAATTTTATGAATGAATTCTAGCTTTAAAGGCAAGATTTGTAGTGACAGAATCTGCTGCAGAGCCATGCTGCCCCCTGCTGGTAGATCCGCGTTGTGTATGGACTTATCCTTTAATTTTCATTTGATATGAACTCAGTTTTGAAAAGACTAAGAACACGGATTGAAATATTAATTAAACAGTTTATTAATATACCTAATAGAATAGATAAAAGAAAATCCAATTACAATAATGAATAACTCATGAAGACAAAGACAGCTTTCTGTAAACACAGTTTATTTTCTATTAATTAAAAGACAAATTATAATGACTGAACACAAAGTAACACATTACATGAAATATATAGGTTTCCTACCAATATCCATAATCCCCAAAATACAATATGTAGTTGCACAGAAATCGAAATAGCTGAATCTTGATGTACAGTCGTAGAAACAATTAATTTTGGTATCAATACGGTATCATTAACATTCATGAAGTTTTCATTGCACAAAAAGTTCTCAAAAAAAATTATATATATATATATTAAATATATATATATATATATATATATATATATATATATATATGTATGTATAATATTCTAGATAGATAGATAGATAGATAGATAGATAGATAGATAGATAGATAGATAGATAGATAGATAGATAGATAGATAGATAGATAGATAGATAGATAGATAGATAGATAGATAGAATCTTTGGGAAACCCAGAAAAAGTTCTTATATGGCATTGCTGCAAAAATATATTTAGTGCAGATATTTGGTAACAGCATTAGGGACCCATTATTTAATGCATTAACTATAAACAATGACAATTTCATCGACAGTATTTGATTTCATTGCTACCACCAGCATATAAAAACACCTCTTTCGATTTTAATGTGTTAATAACTGTTAAAATTAACAAAGTTCATGTTAATTTGCTAACTGATTGAATTAACCTTACCAAATATTGAGAGACGTTAACAAATATTTTAAGGTAATATGTAACAAAGTCTTTGCAGTATTTGGTATAACAATAAGATAAAACCTAAAATCATGAACTAGAAACCATTATAAATGTTTTAATAAATAAAGTGATTAACATAGCCATTACATAAGCTTACTATTACATAAATAAGCATACAGAAATAAATGATAAAACAGTATTTGCTTGTGATAGTATTCTATCAGTGATAAAAATGGCAAAAGCTTCTGTTTTTGAGTAGTTTCTCTTCAAATGTACCCAGAAGAAGGACAGATTGTCATTTCCCTGAGCTTGACATTCATCCGCCTGCATCTCTTGCTCATTCTGACCTGTTCAACTGGTCAGACATGCCATTGAGATGTCCTACATACGCTCTCTTTTACACTCTACACTGAAGAAAAAAAAGTAAAGCAAAATCTTGACCATTTTATCTGGCCCCTTTAGGAATGCAATTAAAGAAGAGAAGCACTTTCAAAAGTTGCTCTGGTCACATTGACAAGGCACATCGGCATCGTGCTTCAGTGATTGAGGTAAACATGAGGTGCTTGGGTAAAAGAGCTGAACTCACATTCACCCAGACAACAAGCACTCAGTGTATCCAAGCTTTATAGTTATTTAAACATGCACAAGTACCCATAAAGCTGGGTAAATGTCACAGATGACATTATATAATCTTTCTAACTGAATGAGCAACTAACTAGAGTGGAAAGAGATTAAAAGTAAATAAAAAAAAAACTAGAACTCATCTAGCATAAAAATATGAGCCCTTTTATGCTTTTAGCCAATTGACTTGAACTAAACATCTCATTAGACGTGTAAATGATATAATTATACTTCATTTTAAGGACAAAGGTCATAAGACATAGTTAACAAAACTTAAACCGCTTAGAATACAACACAATAGCAAATATATGTTGTAACAGGATATAAATAAAGGATTGTACAAACATTTGAAGAAATCCTAAATGGATAATTCTTCCAAGAGTAATATCTGGTTCATGTAGTTTAGAGATGTCCAAACTCGTTCCTGGAGGGCCGGTGTCCTGCTGAGTTTAGCTCCAATTTGCTTTAAACCACCTGCCAGGATGTTTCCAGAACAGGGGTCACCAATCTCATTCCTGGAGGTCCGGTGCACTGCAGGATTTAGCTCTAACTTTCCTCAACACACCTGCTTGGGTGTTTCAATTATACCTAGTAAGACATTGATTAGCTTGTTCAGGTGTGTTTGATTAGGGTTGGAGCTAAAATCTGCAGGACACCAGCCCTCCAGGGCCGAGTTTGAACACCCCTGATTAAGTTCCAAACCCGTATAACTTGATACATTGAACAATTACTGTATTAAAGTGTTTTTTTTTCAGTATGGACAAAAATATTCTAAATAGCCATTAGAATTTCCAGTATAATATTATTAATAATAATTATTTTAATTATATAATAATAATAATAATAATAATAATAATAATAACAATAATAATGATAATATGAATAAAAATAATATGAATAAAAATAATATGAATAAAAATAATATGAATATTATTAATAATTAAAAAATTTCTGGTTTTAAACTTTGCACCACTGATAACAGTGCATTTTTGGCTTAACTTTATGCAATTATTTGCAAATAAATCTCCATCTACTTGGCAAAAGTATTGTATCTTCAATCAAATCAACACATCATACAGAAGTGTCACAGTTGCCATTTTGTGACTTCAAGCTTTGGCCATATAAAATGGCCTCACCAATAGTGTGAAACTGTATATCTTTGGTCCCCTTATTAGGGTCGTAGTAGTCTCCCCTGCGCAACGAATCAATGACAGAGGTGTTGCATTGTGCCAAAAGCACATTGACTCCCAGCTCCTTGTAGTCCTTAAATACTTCTTTCAAAGCGTTGACTCCAGCAGTATCCAGAAAGAGGACTGAACTGCAGTCTATGACCAATGTGTGAAAACTGCTGTGCTGAAGCAGATTTACATTGGTGGACGCATCCATCTCTTGCTTCTGATCTTCTCTACTATGTTTCTGTTTCCTCTGCTTCTCTAGTTTCCTTTGTTTTGCTTTCTCTTTAAGTGGATCCAGGCCTACATTGCGATAGAGCGACTTTTTAAACAGACTTTGGTTGGCGTAGTAGATGGGAGCCTCGTATCGGAAAACAGCCACATCTGGTTGGGTCTGAAGTCCATTGTATGATGCAATGTCCTCAAAGAGCTCACGGTCTCCTGCTTGGCCCAGCTGAAGAGCTTGAGCGAATTGGGTTCTGCCTAACACACAGAAGGCAGAAACCACAACTCCAACCAGCAGGCCTAGCTCAGTGTTCACTAGAGCTGATGTAGCCATGGTCAGCAGCCAGATGACAGTGTCCACACGGTTGACACGCCACATCTGGGGAATGTCGCCAAACTTGCGCAGTGCCCCGCGGAGGTTAACCACTATGATGACAGCCAGAACGCATCTGCAGAGATTAAGAGGACACATTTATGAGAAATACAACGGAAACAGACATTTTAGATCGAAAACTAGGACAGGGAGTAAAAACTTGTAATTTTAAGAACACCCAAGATGTGAAGGTCTCAAAAATTTGGGTAAATTTCAATTCCAATATACTTCAAATTCTAAATACACCCAGTGGAAGTTTTTATGCACATTAACGTTTGCATAATATGCCTACATCTTTTTCCTTAAAAAAATTTTTAAATGTGGTAGATGTAATATATGCCAACCAGTCAACATAAAATATGTCATCATGGTTTTGGGAATGACTCATCAGAAATAGTTCAAATGTTTTAACGATTTGTTTCCACAGAGTGGTACAGATACATACAGTGCAGCACAGTAGACATTTACCCCAGTTTACACTTAAAGTACCAAAATAACAAATCATACTTTAGGATCGGCACACTGATAGTTTAGCTCTCAAAAAACTTAAATGTCACAAGGTTTCAACCTTTGATGAAGACCATGTAGGTCAAAACGTTGTGACAATAAAATTTTTTGAGAGCTAAAGTGACAGTGTGCCGATTTTCTTTTAATCTTTTGCTACGGTGTTTGTTTTTGACCGAGCACCTGCCTTTGAGAATCCTAGATGTGCGCACATATCTGTTTCCTGGTTGCTTAATGTGCAGATATAAACCATCCTTAAACAAAGCCTGATGTCTTCTTGTGGCAAACATTCCAATCAGTAAGAACAGAATGTGCCTTATGGCCTCTACTGTTGTTTACAGGGCCGAAACATGGAATGTGTGAGCGGTGCCACTTTTTTCACTTTGTGAAGTTGATTTATAAACTAATTTCAAGAGAATCACATGCTTATAATTGCTTGCAGCCGTTCCCACATTATCCAATTTCTGTTTCATCAATCAGATGATTCTAAGCCACTATAAATACCCTAAGTTCCATATAACAGCCATATTCGTTTTGAAGAATCCCCCCCTTCCACACTTACTCCTCCTCCATTCCTAGATAGGTGGCACGGTGGCCCAGTGGTTAGCACTGTTGCCTCACAGCAAAAACATCACTGGTTCTACTCCTTACAAAGCCAGCTGACATTTCTGTGAGGAGTTTACATGTTCTTTACATGTTGACTAATCCAAATCGGCACCATAGACATGCTCCTAGTAAGTAGTTATCTCTTAAGAGCAATCACTATCTGTTCATTAGCAACTACAGCAGGCCTGTGGGGCTTTCTTCTTAGAGCATACACTAGGCCTACCTGTTGGCAGTGGAAGCCTGATTAGGATGACCCATACAGAATCATACTGTGCTGTACTGAATTTTACTGCTCAGTGGAAACAAGCCATTGAAAATGGTCATTTCAATAGTTTTTTAATCGACATTTAGAAAATACTGCAAGTGGAAGCCAGACTACTGACAAACTAATGACACTGAACTTCAACATTTTAATGTAATGCATTACAGTAAATAAAGGCATGATTAGGCCCACAAGGAATCTGCATGTGCAGGAATCCACAGATTTTTTTAGCCCATCAATAAGTCTATTTATTCACCTGAGTAAATTTATTTCTATTCAGTTTTTTTATTAAATTCAGTAATATGATTGACTAATATGCAAATGTTCATATGATTTGTTTACAATACAGTTTCTATAGTAATATTTTCTGTCTTTTAGTAGATGTATTATATGAGAGACTTGCTTTGTTTACAAAATAAGTGGATCTATTTGGATTCGCTTTGTAAACATTAAATAAAAGTTAAAAAGGTATTTATATTTCATATATTAAGTTTAGTTACAATAATAATTTTAATACAATAAAATTATTCTGCATAAATCCACTGTTTTTTTAAACAAATTCTGCACAGAAATAACCAAAAATGTCTGTAGATTCTGTCTGGCCCTAGTCATGATGCTTTAACATTGACTCCTTATTTGGTATCAAATTAATGCAAATGAAACTCATCTCATACATACTTTTGCAATGAATAGAAGGCAGGTGCGATAACAAGCATGACGAGCAGCAGCACTAGAGCAGTCACCAATCCAGAAATCTGAGTATGGCATCCAGTTGACTCCTTCACAAGAGTCTTTGTCAAGGCAGCACTGACCGTGAAACAATGAAAGTAGGAAGAAATGATATTACAGTTCCCAATGGCATTCAGCTCTTGATTTGCGTTTACAATATATCCATGCTTCTTGGCAAACATCTCAGATAGAGACACTGTAATAGCAAAACCAACAATGGCAATCGATAATGCGTCAATAGCAATATTTGGAACCAAAGAAAGGTTTGGAGACTGTGGTGCCATAAAGCCAGTTGGAATGGTGCCAGCTACATCTGAGCCATAAGTGTCCTTGAAGTGCCCAAAGTGGGAAGCTAGAGTAGCAGCGATGACCACAAAGAGTTCAAAGGGAATTGGGGCCTTGAGCTTGGCCTTGAAGCGATCATTGAGTTCTTTGGCAGGAACAAGTACAAGCAAGCAGATCAAGCTGGTTATGAGGTCACACAGGTTGGTATGACCCAGATTCTTAAATAGACTGATCCAAGTTTTTATGAGTGAACCCCAGCCTTGGACACGAGGGAGGTGAAGCCCTAGAAAGTACTTTATCTGGGATGTGAGGATGGTTAGAGAGGCACCAGTTGCGAAACCACTCAACAGGGAGTCAGAGAGGAATACTGAGACAAAGCCAATCTGAAGCAGACCCATCAACACCTGCAACCAAATCAAAAAGCAAAAAGCAGAGTTTAATGCTTTTAGATATTTTTTAAAAAATATGGGCAAAGAAGAGTAACTTTGAAAGGTACCTACCTGGTAGATCCCTGCTGTGAAAGTTAGTGTTGCTCCCACCATGATTGCATAGCAGCTTCTATCACAAATTGGACCAGTGCTATTGTCCACATTTCCCAGGGTGGTCTGATTGATGTCTGACGAGTATCCTGCCAAAGTTAGTTCCCTGTCCACTACTTGCCCAACCAGCAGACACAATACCCCAAACATCCCAACAGAGATGTGTCTGGAGGTTCCCAGCAATGCGTAGATAATGTTTGCAAAGAAAGATGTATAGAGCCCATAAATAGGGTCTTGTCCTGCAAGTAGAGAATAAGCAATGGACTGGGGAACCAACAGAATGCCAACAATAAGGCCTGACATGGCATCTCCAATGATCCAGTCTTTGAAGCGATATCGTGGTAGCCATTTCACTATTGGGAATGACTTCATGATCTGGGATTTGACTCGAGCAGTACTGCAGGAACATTTTTTGACCTTTTTTCTTAACGCTTCCTTCCATGATACTTTCTCTTTTACGCACTCTTCTAAACGGAAGGGAAGATTTGGTTCTCTTTTAGCATCTTCCTCTGCTGAAAGATTGTTACAACTCCCTTCAGTTGGCATAATGTCCAGAAACTCTCACTGAAATAAAAAAAAAACAACAATGATAAAGTTGGTTGAAAATAAAAGCAGTCTGAACTAAATAAATGGATAGAGAAAACAGCATAGCTAGGTTTTTGGAAATCCTAATTACAATCATCACGACACCCTCATTCCCATGACGTTCCAATCTTATCTTATCTACTTTTTATAGTGTACATCATAAGAATTATTATTTAAAAAACAAAACAATGTATATGACTAGTTCTTTCAACTACTAAACACAATATTGGCATGAAATCTATTTATTATTACATTACATTACATTCTTTCAACTACTGAACAACATTGGCATGAAATTTACTGAAAGTTAATCCTACTTTTGTTCCGTTTTGAAGTGAGGACCTTAAAGTCCTTGGTGCTGATGTTTTGTTCATTATCCAGCATGACAAGTTAGCGTTAGCTCGTTTAGAGCGGCAACTGAAAAAAAAAAAAAAAACTGCGCTTTGGCGTGGTGTCTGGCACTGAGCCAGAGAAAGACAGCGGGGTTAAGTTGGTTTTGTTTTCGATATTCCTGAGACATTCAGCGATAGGCGACAATAACTCAAAAACCTTTTACTCTAAAAGGGTCTAAACTGTGTTTCCTATGAAAAGATACAGCTGGTTATGTTTCACAGGTGTCTTTTTTTTCCACTTAATTCTACGAGCACTTCATTTAAGCCCTCGCAATATGCGTTTAGCCGAGAGAGCTCGCACTGAACAGAGCTCTCAGTAAAGGACCGTCAGAAAAGTGCTTCTTTCGTTTTTTTTTCTTTCGAAAACAAAACCAATTTAACCCCGCTGAGAAATACGTGTCATATCACAATTATTTTAACCACCTAATGCTTAATTTATAATTTAGACATGTAAACACACAAAAGTACTAGTAAAACAATACATTTAGAGTTTGTAAAACGCACAAACTCTAACAATCCATTAAAATATTTTTGATATACACTTTACACATAGTGAAAGTAATTATAAAGTTGCATCTATTTTTCTCTAAGTTTACCACTTGTATTGTATTTGGGGAGTAACTGGTGGATTTACGGGCTGAATCCTGTGTTCTGCTTTTTATGAATGAGGCAAATGCGCGGCCGCAAGTAAACATGGCGATGCAAGCGTGTAAATACGTTAAATTAAAACTGAAAAAAAAAAACAAATAAAATGGATTTATCTGTAATACAGCGCTATTGTTGTGGCCAAGGTGTGTCACTTGACAAACATGACGCGTCGCCACTAAAACAATTAGGGCGAATTTTCTAAAATAATGACCGCCTAACAAAACTCACTCCCAGGGCCAGAGAGAATATATTAAACTCACCAGTGAAAGGGTTAATAAGAGAAGTAAAGCAGCAGTGGTAGAATTACTTTTTATTGCAAGACTAAAGACTATTTTTTTTCACTCGCCTTCTTTGGATCATTAATTTTTCAATCTGTTGTCATGTACAGCTACACTGCAAAAAAACTTCTTACTTAGTCATTTCGTCTCGTTTCCAGTTCAAATATCTAAAAAAAATCTTAAAAAACAAGAACAGACAAGAAAAATTGCATGAGAAAATGAAGTGATGCTTCAAACTTCCGTTTGATTATATCTCATTAAGATTATTTTTCTTACCCAATTCGCAAACAATTTAGTTTGTTTTAATTTTGAGATGTTTTTTGCAGAAAACAAGACAGTTTTATTATTATTATTATTATTATTTTTATTATTATTATTTTTATTATTATTAAAACAGCTCAGTGATGAGCTTTTTTGAATAAAGGGTTGGAAATGAAGGCTTTTTTTTTTTTTTTAATTAGATTTATTGATTAATCGAAAAAATAATCGACAAATGAACTAATTATTAAAATAATCGTTAGTTGCTGCCCGTATAGATTTGTTTGACTCAAATGGTTTGTTGCAATCGGTTTTCTCAAATAGTTTGAGTTGCCTTAACTTATTGGGTTTTACAGTACTCATATATTTCTTCAATTATTGGGTTTTACTGTGCTCAAATTGCTTTATTTACTCAAATGGATTAAGTTCAAAGTACTCATTAGGATTAGTTTTTGAACTTAAATGGTTTGTTGCAATTAGTTTCCTCAAATGGTTTGAGTGAGATATAAAATAGGCATTTATACCAACTGACCATGCCTATCTCATTTTCATATTAACAGCTGAAGGTAAATATGATAAAGACAATTTCCATGCTTACTTTGTCAGTGAATTTAGTGTTACAGTGGCAAACTCTTAGTCCATGTTTACAAAATCCAAGAAAAATCCATTATGCCTTATATCAACAAGACACAACATTTGTTAAAATGAGTAAAATTACTCCTTGCTAAAGAAAGAGACCAGAAAAAAATTGCTCCAATATTAGGATTCTTTATTACTGAAATATTGTAACATGAATCTAACACCTTAACCCTACAACTTAAAAATGTAATAAACTAGAATGTCTCCATATAAATCATTAAAGAAAACAGATGGCAAATATTTATTCTCATTATGAGCAAAGAAACAAAACTGCAAGAAGCATCTGGTGCAGCCTTGCAACTTTGCCAACAAAAGGATTCAAAGTCTGTTGAGGTCCTATGCTTGTTTTTTTCTTATCAGATGGTGTTGCAACTTCTAACTTCATTTGTCTGTGATTTGGTTCATGTAGCCATCACTTAAAAGTAACATGTGAGACCATAAAGCATTTATGATTATAGAGAGCAGTAAAAAGGCAGATTAAGTGAATTGTGAACTACTGTTGCGGTACATAAATGACATCATAAACTGAGCAAATTAACTAGCTGAACTATTTCCAAATACTGTGGAAGGTATACACTGAAGAAGGGAAGAGATGGCATTTGACATGCCTCTGTGTCAAAAAATAAGTCTAAAATCACCCGTATGGAACACATCTGAGGCTAAATCAATGGTTAAAACAAAAAAATACAAAGTTTAAGTTAATAGACAGTTCTTTTGTAATGTAAATGCGATGTAAAATATTTTTTCAATTATGTTTGGAGCTTTAAATAAGGGGATAGTTTACCCAAAAATGAAAATTACCTCATAATTTATTTTCTACCATGTGTTTTTACACCATTATGAGTTTCTTTCTTCTGTTGAAACATAAAAGAAGATATGTTGAAGAATAACTGCCACCCATTTTTTCGAATATGGAAGTTGATGGGTGCCAGATATTTTTTAAAAATATTATTTCTTTCAACAGAAGAAAGAAACTCAAACTGGCCTTGAACAAGTGACATTGATAAATGATGGAATTGTTTGAGGGTTGCACTAAATCTCTATTACCGTCCGCTTTGTTCACCCAATTCATCCAGTCAGTTGTATTTACTACAGATATGGTTAGATGGTCACTATGGCTGTTTTCTAACAAAAAGAAGACTTCATTGTATTTAATTATATGATTAAAGTGCAGCATTATTAGATTATGAAATTATTTATAACTTACTATTAATTAGGGTAAAAGGTATGCAGATATTAATTTAAAACCACCCAGTAAGTAGTGGCAGGACACTGCATGCCTAAAGGTTAAAAAAATAAAATAAAAAAAATAAAAAAACATTTATGGATCAAAAAATAATAAATTATGGAACTGATTGCATTTATAGATGAAATACTTACCAGATAATTTAATAAAATTTAATAAAGAATTTTACTCATGCTGGAACATACTATACATAACAGATACATTTATACCCATAGCAGCATCAAAGTACAAATAAGTCCATTATTGAAAAAATAAACTGAATTAATAAGTGAAAAGGTTGCAAACATATTATTTTCTTGATAAGGAATACCTTACTCATATTCTTAATAACTTCATTATTTTTAAACTCAGAAAGCAGTTTAATATTGAAAGAGAAACATTTGGACACATGCCCAATACTATAAAAGACTTTAATCACAATGCGCAATGTTAATATTTTCCAGTTGTAAATCTCCAGAGATTTCTCCCATTTATTCAAATTAAAAATGCACTGCTTTGCCACTAGAGGACGTGAATTGAGGTTGTGAATGGGGTCTATTATTCAAACATTCATTCATTCGTTTTCTTTTTGGCTTATTCATCAGGGGTCACCACAGCGAAATAAACCTCCAACTTATCCAGCATACGTTTTACGCAGTGAATGCCCTTCCAGCAGCAACCCAACATTGGGAAACAACCATAGACTCTTGCATTCACACACATACACAACGGCCAATATAATTTATTCAATTCACCTATAGCACATGTCCTTGGACAGTGGGGGAAACCGGAGCACCCAAGGGTCTATTATCCCTTTTTCTAAATATACATATACTGCACCCTCAATCAATGTGTCGAAAGTAGCAGGATCATGTTCATTCTACAATGATTCCATCAAAGTACTTCAAAGTAGAATGTAGACAATCAGTATTTGCAGATGAGTTGATGTATTGTAGATGTTCTCAAACCAGGGAAAAACATAAGAAATCCAGATAAACATGGAGTGTAACCAACAGCCGTCTGGTAAATATGATGATGCCTCCCTCCAGCACTATAATCAGCCTTGCTCAGCAGTTCAAATTACATCTCTCCACCAACAGAGATACGCATCTCCACACTGAGAGGGTGGCAGAGGTGACCAAAGAGTCATGCTTGACAAACATTTCTTCTCTTCTGACAATGTGACTAAACTAGCCAAGTGAAAATGAACAAGAATGCAAACTTCTGAGGCACCTTGAGGCACTTCACAAAAACTATTCAATGCAAACTTGTGTTTAGTCAGCACCTTTGAAAAGCAGGATGGAGTAAGGTATTTTGTTAAATATCTCAAAGTGATCCTGAATGATTCTAAACACTTATGCATTTACGGGTGATGTGCCATTATGATCATTTTTTCTTAAATTCTCAGATTCTCTACTGATTTCTAGGCATTCACTGATGAACTGATTAGTTGAAAGTGCCAGAGCGCGCGCACACACACACGCACAAACACACACACACACACACACACACACACACACACACACACACACACACACACACACACACACACACACACACACACACACACACACTACAAGTCTTAAGAGTCTGCCTCTCCCAGCCAAAGCTCTATTTTTTTTATGCCAGACCACCCTCATTGGTGACCGTGGTAATAATCAACATGCAATTCAAATTCAACAGTACCTGACTATTTCATAGGATATTTGCAGTTGTTAGTGCATCTAAATTTATTCTCTAGCAGTATAAATTGATATCTCCAATTACATCAAAATAGAATGTTTTTTGTAGTTTTTTGCATTTATTAAAATAGTATTTAGAGGAGGCAAATTTAAGATAAAGCAATAAATGCCACCAGTTGACATTACATAGCAGTGGCTCTGGGGCATGGAAATATTGATAAGAAGCACAAATCCAGTTTTTTGGGTAGATTTCACCACAGAGAAAAAACTTGTTGTACTAAAGGCACACAAAAGTTAAAAGGGTGCATTTTCCAAAAGTATTGTTAGGCTATTGCAAGTGTTTCTCATATTCCTAAAACAGTTCATTTGTAAACAGCATTGCCGACTCATGGTTTGATTTAACAGCACTCAACCCGTGTTTAAAAGCATAGTATACAATTATATTAATATATGGACTAAAACAGATCATCCAAAATCAGATTATTAGATGCCATCTTAATTATTAACAGCAATAATCTATTATTATAGATTATATTATAATATATTTTTTGCTATTTCTGAGCAGAAATTTGTAACAAATCTACATATTTATGGAGAATGATTATGGGAGATATAAGAAATAAAAAGTAATACCATAATAACTTTTATTTAATGTTTACACCGCAAATCAAAGAAGATCCACTTTTTTGGTAAACAAAGTCTCTCATATAATATCTCTCATATAAGGTCTCTCATATGATATATCTACTAAAAGTCAGATAATATTACTTTACAAACTGTATTGTAAATAAATCAAAGCAAAATTTTCATATCAGTCAATTACATCATTGAAATGTATTTAAAAACTGAAGAAATACAAAATTTGTACAAAAAAGTAAATAATAAATAAAGTAAGTAAATCTGTGGAAACCAGTGGCTTTCTTTGCGCGCAGATTCCGTGTGGGCCAACTCATGACTAGCAATTTAGTGTCTCCATAAATCATTCCATGGTAGTTAAGTTTTCAGAATACACACCACAAAACAAATCAAGGTTTTACTACTATTAAAACCTAATTATTGACATTTGTTGTGGTTAAACTACACCATGGCTTTGCTACACTAACCACAGTTTAACTGTAATATTTGTAGTAAAACTGGTAATACAGTAATCAATCCAAAACAACATGGTTATTACACATTTAATACATTAACACATAAAATACTCTGAGCTCTAGATTAAAGAAACGCACAGATTTATCACTAAACTCTGGCTTAAAAAATAGCACAGACAAGACATAAGAACAGAACCTGTTAAGCGTCTCGGTTTGAAAAATCTATAGCTGTCATATGGAGTATGCTTCAATATGCATTTGCCTCTGCTTTTATGATAATAATCGAAGCAGCCATTGGCATTAAGATATTTTGCTCCTAATAATATTCGGCCTGGTGTGAACAGTTAAATACATCACGGAAACACACTGTGTGATTTTTTTATAGCTTTAAAATCGTTTACACCAATTGACTACAGTATTCATGTTACAGAGGTCATTGTGTTTTGTTTAGTGATTAATGTGCCTTTTGGATAGTACATCCAATTGACAGACGGGGCGGCAACTTTCGTCATTTTACATGATATCATGGTTCAGTCTGAGGCAACACGAACAGCATGTTGTTGCGTAAAATAAATAGTGTGTCTAACTTGTAATAAACTTGGCAGTTGACATATTTTGTATAAAATTAATTTAAAAACATTTCAATACGCAGTTTGTGGGAACTGATAATACTAATGTGTACAGTTTAAACACCCATGATCACATCCCGATTATGTAACAAATGATCAAAGCAAACGTTTTGTTGTTGTTTTGTCAAACCTTAAGCATATTTATAAGCTAGTTTCTTTGTTGTGTGACAACTAATTTAAAAGTCAATTATTGAAAATTAAAGTACAAGAAATTTCAAGCGTACTTTAACATACACATTAAGAGAATTGATGTAGTATTAACAATTGATACCAAGCATCTCACCACAATCTATAATATGTTCTGAAACTTCGTGATCTCGAAATTGATAACGTACATCTAACTTCAAACTTTAACAAGCATCATCGACAAACGTTAAATGATACGATAGAATAAAAGCTAGAAGTGTCATGAAACCCTGGTTTGTTTTATGCTCTGACTTCATGAATGGCACTATTGAAAACAAAACTGCAACGTGTACAACTGACTCAGTGCAAGTTATCCGCTTAGGAAAAAAAGCTGCACAGATTCAATGTTGAAGACTCACCTCAGTCCGGCTGCGCAACGAGATCGTTTCATTTACACATAGTCATCCGTTTGGACATTTTATAAGCCAAGAGTTACACCTCTTCGAGCGTATGTTACTTGAAGTTTAGGATCTCTTCCGTGACGTATCAAGCCACGCTAAGTTTGTGATATCACGTGGACAACGAAACCTATTATCACACGTCACGTGACTGCTAATTCCTGGCTTGAAGCAAAACTTGCACAGCTATGCTTACTCAGTTAATTTGCAAAGTCTTCTGACTGAGAGCTACTGCTTAAATTGCCGAGTCAAGAGTTTATAAACGGTCCTTCTGTCTGTCTGGTAAAACAACTACAGTGAAAGTTTGACTTATGAATATCTTATTATGCAGTAGGCAGACCAATTTGGGCACAAGTAGGTAAAATTTTACCTTGCTCAATTGACTCAAACGTTAGAGGAGAACTTTCATGCAACAGTTAACTTTCAGAATAGTAGTCGAATAGTACTAAACTTAACCAACATCTGAAAGTGCATGTAATCTAAAGGTTATTGTGTATAACCATAATATACCATAATGTAGTTCAATTAGGTATATTGTTTGTTAATGAAACAATGGTTCATATTTGAACAAGCCTATATATTTGACATTTTCGTGACATTTCTTAGAGTTAATGCATTTATAAATTCATAATCATATGTCGAGTATAAAAGTGGGCACCCCTGATCAAGAAGGGAATAAGCCAAAGGAAAGAGTAATAAGAAGACCATTTTCAAGGTATACTGCGGTTTGGAAAGGTCAATGTTTTAAAATTGCCAACATTTTCTGCTCTAGGCTACCACTCCTAAGGTATGTGTAAGATTTATAAAACATTTCTTTAGTTTTTTAGGACAACAGTATCTTCAGCAAAAAAAGAAAAGAAAAAAAAGTTATCCAAAGATGCTGTTTTAAATTGTAATGAATTGTGTTTTTGTTACAAAGACAGCAAAAGTCAATGATTCATTTGAATTATTTAGCCTGACATGTTTACTGTTCCAAAATATTTTAAATGTCTCTTAAAATAAAATATACTGTGTTCAAAGGGGGAAAAAGTTATTTTTTTTACCCTGACATTTAAAAAAAAGAATATATTTTAGAGCAGTAATCCAGTGAAACCATGATCCAAAGTTATCATACAATCAAAATCTTATACCAGCCCATGCCTACACAAGACCACTTGATAACTTAGTTTCTTTGGATGTGGCTACTTTATTTTTAGGTATATGGTGTATGCAAAATGTTCATATTTGTTTTATTGGATTATTCCAGTATTTATAGAGCTAACCTACAGAAATATATATATTTTTCCATTAGCTGTATGTGTTGTTTGAGAGTCTGATAAGCATTTTTTAAATATGCAAGGTAAATAAAAAATGCTGGAAGTGTTACTGCTGTGAGGCCACAGGTTTTAATCCACACAGCCTTCAAATTCTACATAGGCTTGAGTAAATTGAGCCACACTCCCCTGCGAACAAACAAAGAACACAGTGTGCTTATGAATGTTCCAGGGTGGGATTTTGAAATGGTGCATGTTTATTTAATCTTTTCAATCATCAACATTCTTGTGACATTCTTTACTAAGACATAATTTTACATACAGTAAGTATTCATGTGTGCAATAAAAAACATTAAAGACTCAATATGTACAATTTATTCAATAAAATACCCTAGAGTGGTGTTATACGTGCTCTGATTCATGAATGTACTATTGAAAACACTAAGTCAGTCACATAACACTAAGTCACGTAAGTCAGCCCTATTGCTGACTAATGTACTTACATTATACCAAAATGTTTGAATAAAATAAAAATAAAATTTTAAATACAGACTTTATACATGTAGCATCATCAAAATACCTCAGCTTTGCTTTACATGCTACATACACATAATATACATTTCAAATAACATATAGTTGTGTTTTTAACCTTAGCTATTATTCTCTACTTTTTATATTCTGTACTCTGTCACAAGCTGTTATGCATATAGCTGAAGAAAAAAAAACATGTTTTATTCTAAAATGTACTTCATTAACCCTCGTTGTTTTTTACAGTGATGTGTTCATTTTTTTTACAGTGAGGTTCATCAAGATCAGATCAAGCATCATACTGGGGAAGTCCCAATGAGCTGCAGTTCTGTGCTATGTTCATGTCAGTGGAAAATGTTTGCACTGGTTCAGCTGAAAGGTAACACACTGACTGAAATAACCACTTACTGTACAACTGAGGACTACAGAAGAGCATCTGAATGCATATCAAGCCTTGAAAAAGATGAAAACAGAATTGCAAACTATTATTACAATTCACACAGGCTCACCAAGATTAGACTATACAAGATTGGAAACAAATTCCTGAAATGATAAGTCTTGGCCTCTGTGCTGCTAATTCTGGATGGTAGGTCATAATTTACCATACTGTATAATGCAAGCCATCCTGTTTAAATGGTTCAGCCTACTGGTACTGTAATTCTATGAGAGAGATTGTTTTGACACAGGTTGGGCATATTAGCACAAACTGTGCATCGTTTAAATATTACAGCCAACCTGAGTACTGACCATGTCCAGCCCTTTATGACATCCAGCAGGCTAATGCACAACTTCACAAACCTCAGATTATCTAATTATTAACTTGTTTTTTTTAACATGAAGTTGACTTAACTATACCCAACTGGCTTCATAGTTACCAGAAGAGATGTGGTGTAGTGGGAGATTCACATCAATGTGCGGCTGACAAATCTGCAGCAAGATGCTCCCATATGATATGCCACAGCCATATCACCCGCATACCAAGATCAGTTACTCACAGTTACGCTTCTAAATGGGAGACCACATACGAAAACTAGGTTGCTGTTAGAAGTGGTGTTAGTGAGGCTAGCAGGAGGCTCTCAATCTGTGGTCTGTGTAAGTCCTAATATCCCAGTAAAGTGAAGGGGACACTGTACTGTCAGTGAGTGCCATTTTTCGGATGGAACGTTAAAGCAAAGTCTTGACTTTTTGTGGTCATTAAAAATCCCATGGCAGTTATCGTAAAGAGTAGTGCTGTAACCTCTGTGTCCTGGCTAAATTCCCTCTATCGGCCCTGACCCATCATGGCCTCCCAATTATCTCCATACACAGAATTTGTACTATCACTGTCTCTCCACTTTACCAATAGCTGGTGTGTGGTGAGTGCACTGGAGCCGTTGCCCTGTGGCTGAGGTCGCATCATCCAAGAGGATACTGCACACTGGTGGTGGTGTGGAGAACCCCTAACCCCCCTTATGATTGCGAAGCACTTACATGATAAATGCACTATATAAATACACATTACATTACATTAATATTGTGTTACAACACTTTTTTTATAATTAAGGCAAATGTGAAAGTAACTGAATGGTCTAACCCTCTAATAAGAATCTTCTATTTTCGTCTTATGTATTAAGCTTATGTATTAAATAGTTTTTTTTTTCCTGTGGTTGACCTATGATCTAATCTGCACATATTTATTTAAATATATATTTATTTATGATTCATAGTGTCAGTCATTTTAGATTATTCCAAATGTTCACAAATAATACATATAAAGAAAAAAAGTCATGAACCATATCAGTTAAATCGGAGTGATTCAGTAGCATGTGGTGGACTTCAAAATTATAGAAAAAAAGTCTCTTCTCATGCATCATATGATCTTTACAGGGTTACTAAGATGTGATGTAATAAAATAGCTTTTACTTCACACTGGAAACCAGTACTTGGTGAGTTAGTATTTAGTTAAATTTACTTAAATTAAGTCAGACCAAAGTTTTTATACATTTAAATAATTTTTTACTTTTATGCACATGTAACTAATCCAATCTAGAAACCATCAATTTTGTGATTCAGGCAAATTTTTGCTTGGCAATAACCAACTGCAAAATATAACCAGTCAGAAGAAACGCTGCATGCTTTCTAATTTTATCCACTGGTTAGGCTGAGAGACAGTGATTGCTTTGACATTATGAATGGTACTATTGAAAAGAACTGCAAAACTGCAACATGATCAACCATGTCATGGTATCTGCTGAAGAATAAAGCTTCATTTAAAACTTTGAGATTCAGGGTTAAAACATCCCTTCAGTCATTTATGAGCACATATAGCAGACACGTTTATCAGTAACTTACACTATCATGCATTCATACATAACTACATACATAAATACATAAAGACAATGACACTTGGCACTGAACCAATGACCTTGGCATTTTTAACAGCCTGACTGCCAGTTACAGGAACTACTACTGTGCTACAGGAACTATAGGAATATACCCCTGTCCATAAACCATACAAGCTGTGGTGTTGCCAAATAGCTGCTGTTGACATACAGTACACACAGCAGACTCTCCAATGACAAACATGTTAAAGCTAGGAGTGTGGAGTACAAACAATAGCCCTTCAATAGATATTATTGCAACATTCAAAATAAACATAAAGTCTATGTCATGAAGGTAACACCACGTGAAGTCTTTAGCAAAAACAGGCCACGTCATGTTACAACTAAAGGAAATCCCAAAACAGTAAAGCTGAAAGGCTCTGTTCACTGTACATAATAATGTTTGTTAAAGCAAATCACTTGTTAAAATTAGATGTGTGCAGTTGTTATGCTCAATTATCACACAGCTTGTTCTGTTTTTATTCACCAAACTCATTTTAATTAGCCTTAGAACAAAAGTTTTCCAAACAAACTCTCCTGTGGTCCTTAGAAGAAGGTAATGTACTGTATGTGTCTGTTATGGAGTAGTTGTACTGGGCAAATGAACTGAATGAATCTGTTTAGACTTTTGCCATTCAGACAATGTCGCTGGTAAATGATTTATATTATATTATATTATATTATATTATATTATATTATATTATATTATATTATATTATATTATATTATATTATATTATATTATATTATATTATATTATATTAAACTATATTATATTATATTATATTAAACTATATTATATTATATTGTATTATATTATATTATATTATATTATATTATATTATATTATATTATATTATATTATATTATATTATATTATATTATATTAAACTATATTATATTATATTATATTATATTATATTATATTAAACTATATTATATTATATTATATTATATTATATTATATTATA